TTTTCCTTTTTATTTCAGTCAGTATAACTGTCCGAAATGATCCATTGATATTTATGTCCTCCCTGCAGACTCTTTTTTTATCAATTCTCTAACTTCTTTTTCACTTCTTTGTCTCCGACTTCCACACTTTTTTTTCCCCTTTTTCCTCTTAACTTTCAGCAATTTCCTTTGATTTTTCATGATTATCATACTTTTCCCTTTTCTCTCTTACTTCCACAAGCTAAGTATCACGGCGGCAGCAACAAGAAGAAGAAAAGGGTTGTCGTCGTCGGCTCCGGCTGGGCTGGCCTCGGTGCTGCTCATCACCTTTGCAATCCGGTGCCTCCATGTTTATGATTCTTTATCTTGGTTGAGCTTTGCTTGGTTGAATTTGGTTTTTCACGTAATGTGTTGAATTATTCTTAAAGATAGAAGCTTTTTGTGTTTAATTGAAGTGATTTTGTTTGGTTTTGATTGCAGGGGTTTGATACTACTATTTTTTATGGTGGGAATGCTCTTGGCAGTCCGGACAATGTTGGTATCCAAGGTAATTTAAGCTAATTTTTTGTTGGATAGATGGTTTAATTTGCAATATTTTTCATAATTTTTTCTCCTAAATATTACTATTTCCTTTCTTTACTTTCATCCCTCTTTTACTTTCAATTTCTTTAATTATTTGGTCATGTAAATTTTCTTCACTTTATATTCTCTTATATATATGTATATGTTTTTGGTGTTTATACTAATGATTTAATTTTGTATTTCCAAAGGTTCCCTAATTTGGTGAAAAATGAGGTAGCATTATGGAGATATATAGAAATAATTTTATTACATTGTTTATACTCATATACATATTTTTTCATTTATTTTCTTATTTTCTTTGCATGCTTTAATTTATATGATTTCATTTGTAATTGTATATTATATTTTTCTAGGATTCTTTTAGTAAATGTTGAGTATTTTTTATTTATTTTCCTATTTTTGCATATATGAAAATTTAGTCATATTTATTAATAAATAATTGTAATAATAATTAAAAGATTATAAACGGTATAAATATTAAATAAGTAAGAATTGTATATAATTCATGATATTAATATTGAATTTTTTAAT